GTAGTAGTAGTAGTAGGTGGTCGATACCATAATAGAAAATATAATAACGCTTCGCGGTATAATAAAAAAACTCACGCACGCACGCATATATGTGTGGCGGATTCAATGCCGAAAATAACGTGTCTGTCACGATCCCGCGTCAATGGTAGACTCTTCTTCTGAAAGCCTCCGTAATTAAATCCACGATTTTTACTACAACAACAACAACAAATTCACTTCCTCGTTGTTAACTCTTTTTTTCTTTTTCCAGCACTGGAGAATTTCTTCTTCTTTTTCTTCCACCCACTTTTGATGACCAAAGTTTACCATCGTTTCCGAGTAATTATTACAACAGTCTGATGTTTGCTCTCGCTGGAAAATGTTTTGCCCCTCGATTGTTAACTTGTAACTCTTCAAAGAGAGAGAGAGAGATGTGCAGGAGGTCATTTATTTTCTTTTATAAAGAGAACGACGTGGTTACAAAAAATCCGTTTATCCTCTTGACGTTGGCGTTGGAGACGACGACGACGACGACGACAATCTGCAAACAATATTTATTTAATTATTCATTCATGATTTACCACCATCACTCGAAGAGTTTTTCTTTTTTTTTTTTATATCGTAAATAGTCGAAGGAGTGGTTTCACATAAACACACCTATACGAAATTACAAAGTTAAAGCAAAAAGAGAGAAAGAGAAAGAGAGAGAGAGGGGAGAGAGAGAGAGAATACCCAAACCCGCGACGCGCGCCACTCCGCTTAATATCCCAGCAAATTTGCGTCGGTCACGATTTCTTCGTAATCTCCTCCACGGCGGAGGAGTTCCCGTTCCTATCCCCGAACTGACGACGAGCAAGACAGGACTCCTTCCACAGCTACCCTATTTCGTCCGTACACCAGTATTTCGGCCGCTTGCGCTCGACGCGTAAAGCGACGCCAGAACCGTGTCTCCCCATCCCACCAGAACGAAACCCTCTCCCCGGGACAGCTCTCGAGGCCTCGGCGTTTTGACCGAGCTCGAGGATAGTATTGCGGCCGCGCCGTTCTTGGATCCGAACCAAGAACCGTCGCGGCTTTCCCCCCTTTTCGAAACGGCGTAGGGTTCTGAAATCATGACGACATCGACCCCCCACGCGCCCACCTGATTGAGCAGTAGGTCTTGCGCCCTCCTTCCCCATGTTTACGCGGAACTCTGGGCAGAGCCGTACGTTCTCGACTCGCGCTGAATTAGGTTCGGATGAACGAGAACGCCAGGTAGGCGTGATCGCTCAGAAACTCGAAATCGGAAAGGACCTCCCAGCCGGAGACCCACGCCGCGGCTGCGACAAAAGAAACCGTGAGATCGATCGCGGACTCGCCGATGGCCCGCACCCAAATTTTCGCTCCCCTCTGGTTACGCACGGCGAAATGACGCGAATCGAACCACTCCTTGGGAAGTCGGCCGCGCGCGTTGTCCGCGTTGAAGTCGCCGCAGACGAGAGTGGGACGGGACCCCCCCCCCGAACCGATCGATCTCCCTCGCGAGCGCGTGCAAGAAATTCTCGAACTGGCTGACGGGACGATTCGGCAACGCGTAAGCAGACACCAGAACCGCGTTTTCCCATCCAACCAGAACGAAACCCTCCTCCCGGGACAGCTCTCGAGGCCTCGGCGTTTTGACTGAGTTCGTGGCTCTCGGGCTCTGATCTAACCCGGGGAAGTGAATCGCAGCCCTGCCGTTTTCGGACGCTTACCAAAGTCTATCAGAGCTCGAACCCTCACTCGGAATCCAGTAAGGCTCCAAAATCATTGCGATGTCAAAGCCCCCGTCCTCCATCATTTGCGAGAGGAGATCTTACCCCCTCTGCAATAGTTGAGATTAATTTGTATAACCTGCGCCATCCTATCACGAGCTATGCAATAGGCCGTTCGTTCTCGGCTCGGAAAGAAGAAACTGCCTTCCTATACGCTCCCTGTGTTCCATCAAGCTCAAAATCGTGAATTCTCCCCTTCCTCAGCGGTGCTTCGCGATACGGCCCACCAAGGCGATGATTAGTCGTCCGATCAGCCGCTGCGCAAGGCGCGCAACAGACAGCATTCTTGCACTCTCGTGCCCGGTGTCCCTTTTCTCCTGAAAACACCGCTCGTGTGTCTCATCCAACCTTTTCGGATGCACGGGGCACGATGAGCCGAAATACCCCGGGTTACAACATCTAACGCAGATAGCCCTCCTACGAAAAGGAAGGACGATCTTAGCGATGACCCACCCTACAGCGATTTTACCAGCTTTCAACAAAGTGGAAGCAACCGCAGCCGGAACGGAGACAAATGCCACACTTCTTGCGTTTCTACCGAAGAAACAGCGCACTTTAACGGAATTTTCCGCGCAGCCGGCCGCCTTTAAAATCGCGGAAACAACGTCCCCCGATGAGGCTAATTTGCATAAGCCTTCTACGAGAATGTCGACTCTCTTTTCAGGCCATGGACCCAACACAGGCACAGGCACAGACCCCCATTGACCCAACCGCCTTCGTCAGTTTGGCTGCTTTGTTTTCTCCCTTAATTTCAATGGCACGGCCCCCTGCTGCAGATGGCCGAATTCTAATCGAGCTTATGCTCAAGTCCTGTAGTTGGAACACAGCGCGCTGCGTTCACCGCCACCTCGAGAATGTTCTGGGAGCCATGCCCCCAGTCCGAATCTGGGGGAGACGAAAAGTTGCCTCCTCCGCAGCAGACTCTTTTTCTCTTCGCCCAACCGACTGCAAAAGAAGCAACGCCTCCTCCTCTTCCTCCAATCTGTTATCCATCCTAGGACGCCTCCTGGGCCTCGAGGACACTAGTATTCCACTAAGTCCTCCCCCAGCCGATCCAAGTCATCCTTAGCATCCTCTAAACCAATAACCCTAAGAGCGACAATAATTACTGTGATTGACAATGAGAAATTTAAAGTAAGGAAGACGCCGAGTTCATACCTGCACAGGTCCAACTCTAGTTTAAAATATTATCGAAATTGCGAACTTAAATATTACTTCACTTACACCTTCCTATTCCTATTCGAATCTTCTTTCTTCACTTGGTCCTTAACCTTTTTCTCTTTGCCTGTACCTTTTATTTCCTAGTCTTTCTACCCTCCTTTCTTATCTTGCAAAACTCCTCCTGCCTTCTAATAACAACCCCACGAAAAAAAAAAAGGGATCGGGTACGACAACCCCCAATTAAACCGGCGAGCCCCCAGTAAAACCTGGTGCTAGAACGCTCTCATTTAAAACATGCTTACGTCGCAACGACGTAATTATTATTATTATTATTTTTAAATTAATTAATTAAACAACTTATTGAGTAAATAAATAAATACGTTTTAGTTACTTTTTTTTATTTTAAGTATGTAAGTGACGTCACCAAAAATTAACTACGTAATTATCACAGTATTATTGTCATTATGATTAATAACTATTTTATTTTTTTATTTTTTTTTTAATTTGTTTACTAGAAATTATTTAAATTATTCGTTTTCCCCTCATTATTATTATTATAATCATTATTATCATCGATTTCGTTTTTATTTAAATAACGAATAAATAAATAAATAAATAAATAAACGTTGAATTTATCTTTTGATTAATTATAATTATTAATTATCGCATTTTTTTTATGGTTTGACTAAATATTTATCATCATTATTATTATCATTATTATCATTATTATTATTACAATAATAAAATATAAATTTTGAAATTATTGCTTAATAAGGTAATGATATATAAATATTGTTTAAATAATTATTGAGTGATAGTTTCTAGTTTTATTCCCATTATTATTATCATGATTATCTCTTCCTTATTATTCTTATTATTAAGGTTATTTTAATTTAATAATAATAATAATAATAATAATAATAGTCAATAAATTACGTATGAAAAAATAATTTGTGATTTTATTGGTATTATTGATAATAAAATTTAACCTTGAAATTAATTATTATTATTATTATAAAAAAATTGCCGTTTATGCCGCGTTTAAATGCGAATTTATAACTTTTGATAAATTCTGATGATAATAATAATAATAATAAACGTATTAATTTGTCGTCACAGAGTGGGGAAAAATCATTTGTTGTTTTTATTAAAATTACAAACGTAATAATGTTATTAATGTATATATACATACGTAACGTGCTTTTATTAATTAATAAATAAATAAATTATAAATAAAACTTACGATAATCTGACGAAATTTTCTCCTTTTATTATTAATTTTTTCATTTTATTCTTTTTTCAACCTTCAACATACGATTGAGCTTCTGCTGAATAATAGTTTAGTGACACGATTAATGAAATTTTTTTTGTTAAAATTGGCAACGTTGTATTTCGTCAAGTCATTAGTAGCCCGAAAAAAAAAAATTTTTTTTTTTTTTTTTTCTATCCTTCTTCTCTCTCTCTCTCTCTCTTTTTTTAATATAAGTTTATCGAAAATAATTACAAAGAATAAAAAAAAAAAAATTTTATTATTATTATTATTATTATTATTAAAAATGAATATTATTTTAAAGTGGCATCCAGTAATTACGAGGAATATTTCAACTTGTTATTCCGTATGTTGTTTTTTTTTTTTTTTTTTTTTATTTTTTATTTTATTTCGATTCGTGTTGTTAAATATTTGCAAAAATTATTTTTTATTTTATTACGTTGGTCCATTTTTTTTTTTTTTTTTTTTTTTTTCGTTTCTCCCCACTGCAAATTATTTATAAATATTTATTAATTAATTTCAATGCCGTGATATAAGGATTAATATTAAATAATTATTAGATTTTTATTTATAATTATTATTATTATTATTAATTTCATTCTTTTTCCGTTACGATAATATTCCATTTCATTATTTATTTTTTTACAGGGCCTTATTTAAGCCTAACGTATTTTTAACTAACCACGAATCACATCATTAATATTATTATTATTATTTTACTTATTATGGAATTATTAACATTTTTTTTTTTTAGAGCGTTTTATGTACGTCGTTAACGAATAAAAAAAATTTAAATCATGGTTCAAAACGTGCCAGATCAAATTGCTCTGTAAGTTATATTCGATCAAGACATAAAAAAAAAGGAATTATCGCGTTAGTGTGATAATAATAATAATATTAAGGTTTTTCCTTTTTTTATGTGTTCAGGGACAATATCAAGTTATTGATCATGAATTTGATGCTGTTGTCGTTGGAGCTGGGGGTGCAGGATTAAGAGCAGCTTTCGGTTTAGTAGCAGAAGGTTTTAACACTGCTGTTATAACGAAACTTTTTCCAACAAGGTCACACACTGTCGCTGCTCAAGGTGGTATCAATGCTGCCCTTGGAAACATGGAACAAGATGATTGGAGATGGCACATGTAAGATGATAATCTATTATATTATGCAACCACATCTAATTAAAATAAAATGATGATAAATATTATCATCTTGTCATGTAAAAAAAAAAATTTATTTTCGCATTTTTAATTAAAAGTGACTTTTTTTATAAAATGGTGTTATTATGCGTGTAATTAATTACAGGTATGATACTGTTAAGGGTTCAGATTGGTTAGGAGATCAGGATGCTATTCATTACATGACTAGAGAAGCTCCTAAAGCTGTTATCGAATTGGAAAATTATGGTCAGAAAATTTCTTTTTTTTATTGTCGTGATAAAATTATAAATAACCAGTTTAAAAAAAAATATTTTAGGTATGCCATTCAGTAGAACAGATGAGGGTAAAATTTATCAGAGAGCTTTCGGTGGTCAATCGTTAAACTTTGGAAAAGGTGGTCAAGCTCATCGTTGCTGTTGTGTTGCTGATCGTACAGGCCACAGTTTGTTGCACACACTCTATGGTCAATCTTTACGCTATGACTGTAATTATTTCATTGAATATTTCGCATTGGATTTAATCATGGATAAAAATGAAAAAACATGCAAGGGAGTTATTGCATTGTGTTTGGAAGATGGTTCGATACATAGGTTCAGAGCCAAAAATACAGTGAGTTGATTATAATCATTTCAAATTGATAAAAAAATATTCATTCGATTCAATTTAATAAATTAAATTATGTAGGTATTAGCCACTGGAGGTTATGGTAGAGCATATTTTTCATGTACGTCAGCACACACGTGTACGGGTGACGGTACAGCAATGATTAGCAGGGCTGGTCTTCATAACGAAGACCTTGAATTTGTACAATTTCATCCAACTGGTAACAATAAAATTTCAATGGATTTACAGTGATGATATTTCCATTTTAACAAAAAAAAAAACCTTTTTCGGGTTTTACGTAGGTATATACGGTGCTGGATGCCTTATAACCGAAGGATGCCGCGGAGAAGGAGGTTATTTAATTAATAGCGAAGGAGAAAGATTCATGGAACGATATGCTCCAGTCGCAAAAGATTTAGCTTCGCGAGATGTCGTTTCTAGGTCAATGACAATTGAAATACGCGAGGGTAGAGGTGTCGGACCGGAAAAAGATCATGTTTACCTTCAACTTCATCACCTTCCACCCGAACAATTACATACCAGACTTCCCGGTATATCCGAGACGGCAATGATATTCGCCGGCGTTGACGTTACCAGAGAGCCGATCCCCGTTCTACCAACTGTTCACTACAACATGGGTGGCATCCCCACCAATTACAAAGGTCAAGTTGTAACCGTTGACGGTGTTGGTAACGACGTCGTTGTTAATGGTTTGTACGCGGCCGGAGAATGCGCGTGTAGCTCCGTTCACGGCGCTAACAGATTGGGCGCTAATTCTTTACTCGATTTGGTCGTTTTCGGTAGGGCTTGCGCCAAAACGATCGCATCGGAGAACAAACCTGGAGAGAAAACAATGGAATTATCGGATGTGAGCATGAGTTACATTATCAATTAAAATGAAAATTCGATTGGAATGATGCTCTAATGAAACGATTTGTTTTTTGCAGTCCGACGGCGAAGACTCTGTAACCAATTTAGATAACGTTAGATATGCAAACGGATCCATTTCCGTTGCCGACCTTCGTCTCAAAATGCAAAAAACGATGCAAAATCACGCGGCCGTGTTTAGAACGCAGGAAACATTAGCCGAAGGATGTGAAAAAATGGCCAAAATGTATAAAGAACTTAAAAATATAAAAGTCTACGACAGGAGTCTGATATGGAATTCGGATTTGGTCGAAGGTTTAGAATTGCAAAATTTAATGATAAACGCATTGCAAACGATTATAGGAGCCGAAAATAGAAAAGAATCTCGTGGAGCACACGCAAGAGAAGATTTCAAGGTTGGCTAAATATAAAAAAATTCATTTCTATTGCATTTCCCAAATCCCTGAAAATTAATAATAATAATAATAAATTTTCTTTTTACTCCGATGAAAAACAGGATAGAATCGATGAATATAATTATTCTCAACCGTTGGAAAATCAACAACCCAAATCGATTGAAAATCACTGGAGAAAACATACGTTAACGTGCATGAACGTCGATACGGGAGAAGTAAGAATCCAGGATTTACAGGAATTTCCAATAAAATTCCATTCTGGTTAATCGAATTAATCAATTATTTGTCGTTGTTTTCAGGTAACGATCGAATACAGGCCTGTAATAGATAAAACATTAGATGAAAACGAATGTAAAACGGTACCTCCAGCCGTTAGGTCGTACTAATTTGTAATATTCCAAAGTTTCCATATTGAAAAAAAGGGAAAAAGTCGGTCGATATTTAGTGTGTCAACATAATGGGAACAATCCCTTGTATTTTAAATACTACCACTCTAAGTACAGTAATTTATTTTTTCACTTAATTTATTAATATTATTATTATAATTATTATTATTATTATTACGAAAAAGAAGATGGAAGAGGAGGAGGAGGTGGAGGTGGAGAAGAAGAGAAAGACAATCGACGGTATTATTGAAAAAAAAAAAAAAAAAGTTATTAATAATAATAATGATAATTTTAATTAATTTGAGTATTATATCCGGGTAGTGATACTGATGAACCGCCTGGAAAAGTATTTAAATTTTTTTTTTTTTTTTTATTGATAAGACAAGCAAAATATTTAAAAAATAAAAATAATGATAATGATAATAATAATAATAATATTGTACATTGTATAACAAGTGTATAAATTAGATTGAATCGAAATTAAATTTTTTGATTCTTTCAAAAATTCCGTCAATTCCACACAAACAACAAAAATGGCCATGACTTATTTTGAAAAGTTGGGAACATTCGTAATAAAGAATTTCCTCAATAATGTTAAAGAGAGAGAGAGAGAGAGAAAGATTTTACATGTGTAAAAAGGTCTGTCTCAGGAATTGTGTACCTTATCACAACATGAGAACAAGGAAGAATTGTCATCGAACCTGTTTCTCATAAGTTTCTTACATTTTCAACATTTTCTAAATAAAAAAAAGTTAAAAAGTAAATTATCATCATCATTATTATTATGAGATACCATTTATGACATTGAATTGAATTATTAGGTTCATGCCCTGCATTTATATGAGTTGTTTTAATAAACCTGTTTGAGTCGTAAAACGTTTGACACACATTTCGCAAACCTACTTTATTTAAAATTTAAATGAACTTTAAGTGAAATTTAAATGAAGTGATATAATAATAATAATTATTATTATTATTATATCACTTTTTAGCAAACTTACCATTAGATATAATCACATTTTTCATTTTGAAGTAAATGTATTGATTTTCAAATGGTTTATTGACGACAGAAACCTTTTTCGTATTGATCACATTGAAATGTGGCCTTATTTGGATCATATTGTCTTATTGTTGTCAGACAAGAAAGTTGTTTGTTGGATATTGTACACCTGAAACATGTTTTAAAATTGTTGTCATAATGATAACAAATGATTGTAAAATAATGGAAAGTAGAAAACAATTATAAGTTATTGAAACATGTCTGCAACTGTCTGGTTGTAAGTGTGTTTTATTCATGTGACACCCCCTCAGGTAATATTTGTCATTGATTTTTATGTTTCTTTCGAAACATTTAATAAAGCCCTAAACCTTGTGAACTGTTTTTTTAATGATTGTTGAGCATTTTAAAACTGTTGAAATCATTCATGTAATATTTTTTACATTTTGCATCATGTAAAATTCTATCATTTTTTTTTTTTTCAAATCATTTATCATTGTTTGATACATTTTTTAAAATTGGATTTTTATTCGATGTATCATTTACACAATTTAAATTAAATTTTTCTAAGGTTTTGTTAACGTTTTGAGTCATTGTAACGTTTCGTCGTTTTCTTTATAAATATTTTTTTATTTTCCAAAAGTTCATCAGTGACTTCAATTTTGGTCGAAGGTAAAAAGATGAAATATTTGGATTTTTTATTATCACCTATCAAAGTGTTTGTTTAATAATTATTTCGTACGAAAACAAACAGTTTCGTAAAATTTATGAAAAATTTAAAATTTGTTTAAACAAGAGTTTCAAATTCAAGATCTATTATGACTAACCAAAGACAACAAATGATTGGGAAAAATTTTTTATTTTTTTAAATTTAAATTAAAATAATTTTTGGTTTATGCTATTTTCTTAAGTCATTCATCTTTAATTGTAAATATTTTTCTATCTTTTCAATCAAATTAAATTGTTTAATACCTTTAAAATTATTAATTGCGGCTAAGAGGACACAAGTAGCTCGATTCCATAACTTCATTAAAATAAAATAATATTTATATTGTCGTGTCAATAGACAATCGTTGTAACCTATTATTTGTATATGTAAATCTATTAAAATTATTAATAATTTCTATGAATAAAACACATTCACCGTTGTAATTATTTATAATAATATAATATATATAAATTTAAATAAATTTATTCGATTTTATTTTATGTTAACCCGTTAACATTCCGCGTTTGAAAAAAAAACCGTTGAAGTGTATGACGATTTAAAAAAGTTTATGGTAAAATGTGCTCGTTATAAACGGTTAAAAAAGTTTCAATTATCGTTATTAATTTGATACATTTATTTCTTTTTTTTATAATTATTAAAAATGGCGGTCGGATGTTATAGCGAATCAGAAAAAATATTCATACTTCACGGAGTCGAGGTTATATATATTATTTTAATTAATTGTATCATCTGATTTAATTCATGAATATTATTTGAATTGTATATTTACAGGATAATTTTCGATATGACGGAAGAACTAGAAGCGAATATAGGCCTATAGAAGTAGAAACTGATGTTGTTTCTCATGCTAACGGTTCAGCTCGACTTAGGTTGGCTAATACAGATATTCTTGTCGGAGTCAAAGCAGAAATTGTTAAGCCAACAATTGAAAATCCTGATAAGGGAAAAATTGAATTTTTTGTCGATTGGTAATTGCATTTACTTCAAATTAATAAATGATTTTAATAATAATAATAATAATAATAATAATTTTTTACTCGATTAGTTCAGCAAATGCGACACCTGCATTTGAAAAAAGAGGCGGAGAAGATTTAGCGAATGATTTAAGCTCAGCACTGACGAGAGCATATTCAGCTCCAGAATCGTTAGATTTAAAATCACTTTGCATATTACCTAAATTTCAATGTTGGAAACTTTATGTTGATGTACTTGTAAGTTTACATTTTGTAAAAAAAAAAAAAAAAATTATTAATCACTCTTACGACAATCATGAAAAAATTATTTTTAATTAAGATATTAGAATGTGGTGGAAATTTATTCGATGCTGTCGGATTAGGAGTAAAAGCTGCTTTGAGAAATACATTCATACCTAGAGTTGTCGCTGCTGCTTTAGACGGTTGCGATCCTGAACTTGTCATATCTGAAGATCCATATGATTGTTGGAGACTTGATACATCCAAAACTCCTGTTTTTGTCACAGTCATGAGGGTTTGTTGAATTAATTAACCTGTAATAACTAAATAAAACATTTAAAAATTAACTTTGTGAAGGAACATTTAATAAATTTTTCAGATTGGTGATCATTGTGTTGTCGATCCAGGCGCAGAAGAAGAAGCTGTTAGCGGTGGTGGACTTTTAGTTTCTTATGGTTCAGGTTCGATAACATCATTATTAAAAATAAGCGGTGGAAGTCTTCATCCGATAACATTGAGAGAAATGATTCAGGTTTACTTTTTTTTTTTTTAAATAATAATAATAATAATAATAGCTTGTTACATTCCCTAAAAATAAAAAAAATTTTTTAAAATTCCAGTTGGGTGGAAGCGCTGGAGAATGTTTACAAGATACATTAGAAAGAGCATTAAAAGAAGAAGATTCATTAGGACCTAAAAGAGAAAAAGCTGGATTTCTCAAGTAAATTTTTTTTTTATTAAATAAATAAATAAATTATTAATTGTATTTTTTTTTTTTTTTACATTACAAAAAAAAATAACATTGTTTAACGGTATTAATAATAATAATAATAATATCAAACGGTTAAACTACTTCCGTGAACTCTCATATGCCTATTTAAATTACCGGATTGTGAAAATCTAAGCAAGCACAATTTACACTGATATGGTTTTTCACCGGAATGTATTCTCAAATGTTTGGTGAGTGTGGAAGAATCGGAAAATGCTTTTTTACACAGTCTGCACCTGTATGGTCTTTCACCGGAATGGGTTCTCATGTGTGTCGTCACGGAAGAGGATTGTGAAAATCTTCGGCCGCAAATGGGACACCTAAATGGTTTTTCACCGGAATGTGTACGAACGTGAGCCGTTAAATTAGCTGCTTGACTGAAGGATTTATTACATTCGTCGCATCTATATGGTTTTTCACCGGAATGAGTGCGTAAGTGCGTTTTTAAAGTGCTCGGTCTCGCATATGTTTTACCACATATACGACAGAGATTCGAATGAGGAAATAACGAATCCTCGTCTGACGTCGGTGAATATTTATTAAAATGATTATCATTTTGATGAAAACATGCTGAAGCAGAGGCTGTTATTTTTGTTGAAAAATTTCCATTTCTTCTATTTGACTTACTTATGGGTTTAAACGATGTCGTTGCTGTTGCTGTCGACGGTGGTGATGATGACGGTATTGTAAAATCCGGTGTTATGGTTGTAGGATTTTGCGGTCGGAAATCTGCAGTAAATGAATACGTGGCACTTGTACCATTATTATAAGATTGTGGACTTAATATATTCTGATTAGTATAATAAACCGGTGATGGATTTGATGTATTATTTGACGTCCATTGTACCTTAAAAAAAAAAAAAATTTCAAATGGTTTTTTTTAACATTAAGGAAGGGAAATTTCATTTAACGACAGCAAAAATGGATTCCATGGAAACGAATCACACCCTTTGTTTATATCAGTTCAAGTTAAAAATAAAAATTATCAGTTAATATTTTTTAAAGTTTTTTTTTTTTTTTATTGTGGATTATGGTTCGGTACGCGACAAAATTTGGCATCGAACATCCTTATACGATTCCAAATAAAGGACCGACACCAAAAATCGATAAAGAAGAAGGTTTACCATTGGGTAAATTAGATATTGCATGGGTTAAAGATTCTATAAAAAAAGATTATCACTGGAGCAGAGGTTTAAAATGGTACGAAAGACTTCACGCCCACGCAACGTTAAACAGCGCGAGAAAAAATGTTAAATGTAAAAGACCTTTTGAACCTAAAGATTCACTGGATTTACTTTTGGATGCTGTATACTGTCCAACACTTGGAGTTTTTTTCAATAAAACTGATCCTTGTCTCCAGGTATGATTGATTTTCTTTTTTTTCTATCCTTTTAACACGTTAATCCTTTTTTCAAATTCAAATTGTGCGTTTCTTTCGTTTTAGAAAGACACGGTTTTCGATGAAAATTCATGGAATAATGAAAATAATAAAAATACTAAAATAAATAAGAGAAATTTTAATAATAAAACATTTTCCGAAGAAGGCGGTTTTTATAATTATTGCAATTACGACATAAGGAAACCGTTTAAATTTGTTAAATTGAGTAAAAAAACCGATGGAAAATTGAATTTCGAATCCGGATCCTGGAGACTTTTGAGAAATCGCGTTTACGTTTATCCAGATGTTTCCGTACCGAGAAATTATCCGATTATTTACTCTATGGGCGGAGTTGAAAGAAGAGAAAATATTCACAGCGTTAAATTGGGCATTGCTACCGATCACAGTCCTCAAACTAATCCCGGATATTCCAGAACTCCATGCGGAGCTTTTTACAGCATATAAATTTTCATTATTATTATTATCATTAATATTATCATTATCATTAAACACAGTATATGATTTATTCGAAATAATTTTTTCTTTTTACTAAATAAAATAGTTTTAGTAGTAGTGGTAGTAGTAGTAGTTGTATCTGTTGTAGTGATAATTATCCAAAAATTAATCATTATTATCAATACATGATTGATTGATTGATTGAAAAAATTCTTTTAATTTAAAAAAAAAACAATTAACGGTTTTTTAATTGATAAGAAAACTTACCTGAGGGCAAGACATTTGAGTGTGAATGTTATCAGTGTTAACGGTTCCCGGATATCCGTGCATGGTCATGTTCATGGATACATTCACGCTCATGGACGGAAAAACGTTATGTTGTGACGTATTATTTGTCGGAATCCCATTAAACATGTTATTTTGTTCTATCGGTCCTGTGAAATATTGTTGTCCGCAACCTCCGCCACCGCCACCACCACCTGGAGACATCGATAACATCTGCAAAGAGAAAGAAAAAGGTTTTCACGGAGTTTTGGTATATATATGTATAAGACTCGGGTTCGTACCTGTGGGTGTACGGAATAAGAAAGACTCGCTGATGGTCCTTGATATTGAGGATTGGCATGACACGTAAAACCAGACGGTGATAATTGTCCAGGATGAACTACGGGATGTTTTAATGATAGTAAAACATCTGCCATATCACCTCCATTACTTCCTCTTTCTTTAACCATAGAAAAATCACTCCTGAAAAAAAAAAAAAATTGACGTCACTTTAAGTAAAAAAGTTATTATTATTATTATTATTATTTAAACGATAGTTACTTATATGATGTCGATGGACTAAATGAAAATAATTGATCTAAATCCAATGGTGATAATGAAAATGATCCCATGTCGTCTGAGGGCCAAAACTGACTGTTGCAGATTCCAGAACCATTTGGACCAGGAGCAGAATCTGTAAGGCCATAGTGCGCCGGATTGTTTGGAACGTAGTAACTCCCATCCATTGCGAACCCTTAACTTATTTCTACGTGAGTTTAAAATTATTAAAAAAAAAAAATGAATTAAATTTCCCTTTTTCCCTTTTTTTTTTTTTCCATGTCGTCATTTTCTTTCTGCTTTCCAGAAAAAAAAAAAAAATCTCCCAACGAAATCATTTAATTATAATTCTTTTTATATTTCGTAACTCGAAAGGGATGTTTATAAAATTATTATTATTATTTAAAAAAAAGATATCGAACGGGTATATGAAATTATTATAGGGAAGCCATCTTAAATATGATTGAAAACTGCAGCCATAGTAAAGAATGAAAGCTGTTGCTTTGGTAACGACTCAAAAATTACTGATTTTTTTTCTAATTTTAAAGGCGCGTTTTTAATTTTTTAAAATATTATTATTATTAAGTATTTTAAAGTAAGTTAACGGTCGATAATTCGATACGAGATCGATTTCGACCTTTGACCCGTTAGATATTTAATTAAGGTAATTATTATTATTATTCCGTTTAAATTTCTTTTTTTGAATGTTTCCGCCATTTTTTTTTTTTTTAAACCGAAATATAAACCGATAATAAACCGAAATCGGAATTTAAAAAAAAAAATGATTAAAAATTTTTTTTATTACTCTATGATAAAATTTAAAATCGTCTTGTTGAAACCGAGAAAAAAAAATGGCGGCTCGATTTCAATTTTTATTTTTTTTATTTCATAGAGTAGATAAACGTATTTTTATATCTCCCGCGATAAAATCTCTGTTTCGCCGACATTTTTTTTTTTAAATTGAAATTTTTATAATTATTATTATTATTATGTGTTAATTAATTTTCTCATCTTCTTATTAAAAATTACAATTAATAAAATTTTACTTATTAATAATGTATTTTAATCGAGTGATTTTTTTTTTCTCTTCGAATTATTAATTTAATTATTAAAAAATATTTTTTCCCTTTTAAATTTATCATTATCATTATTATTATTATTATTATTATTATATTATTATTATTATTATTATTATTATTATTATTATTATTATTAAAATTATTATTATTAATATCATCTTGTTAAAATAATTTAATAAAAAAAAAATACGTAAGAAAAAAAAAAAAACAAAAACAAAAAACAAAACAAAATGCGAAAGCATACGTAGATACGTTTGAAAAGGGGGTTGATAAAGAAAGAAAATTCTCATTGGTTGAAAAAAAAGCGGCCATTATTAAATGTGGGTGGAGCTTTTTTATTTTCTTTTCTCAACCCTCAATTCTCATTGGTTGGAATAAAGGGGCCATTATTAAATGTGGGTAGAGCTTTTTTATTTTCTTTTCTCAACCCATGCCCTTCAATTGATTTTTTCTTCTCCCTTTTTTTTTTTTTCTTTTTTGGTTACGTTAAAAATTAATTTTTTTTATTTTTATTTTAATTATTAAAAATAAATTATTTAAATCATAAATTAATAAATAATCAATCAATCAATCAATCATTCCTTTTTAATTAAACACGTAATGTTTTCTTTTTTTTTTTTTTAAATAGAAAAAAAAAATTTCATTTGATTTTCATTATGTATTTTTTTTCACCTTTTATTCACCTTCGATAAATTTATTATTATTATTATCATTATTTATTATTAATACTAATACTATTATTATTATTATCATGGGTTCCTAAAATTCATTAATGAATTATTTTTACGTTAGTTTTTTTTTTACTTATAAAAAAGAATTTTTTTCTTAATTTAATTGAAAAAATAATTTAAAATTAGGAAAATGGTCTTTAAATAATTAGCAGACGATAATTATTTATGTAATTAATTAATAAATTAATTACCTTTCAATCGTTTCAAAGAAGTAATAATAATAATAATAATAGTATTGGTAATAATAATAATTCTTGCGCTGGTCGTACGTTTTGGTATTATTACCACAGCTGGAAACGACGACGACGACGAGGGTAGTAATATTAAAATGATAATAATAATAATAACAATGATAACATGATTGATTGATTGATAATAATAATAATTATTTACATAAACAAAACGATATGTAAATAATTAGGATTCTTATTAAAAAAAATAAATAAATAAATAATAAATGATAAAAATACCTTATACGTTATTGTAAATTCATATCCGTCCATATTTTCAAACGAATCCGATTAAATAATAAATGGAAAAACAAATAATAATAATAATAATAATAATTTTCATTATGATTCGAACGCGAGTACTTCCTTCCCTTACTCCCCCCCCCCCCTGGAAAAAAATAAAACAGAAAAAAATAAAATTTCACTTTTTTTTAAAAAATATGTTAACGTGTGTGTACGTATGCGTGTGTGTGTGTGTGTGTATGCGTGTGTCTGTGTGTGTGTGTGTGTGTCCGTCTGTCTATACGCAAACTGATATTATTTTCAAAAAAAAAAAAAAAACGTCGAAAAACTCTTCGGACAAAAACAAAAAGAAAAGGAAAAAAAAAAAAAGTTTTCCCAAATCGGGTTTACAATATGTTAAATAAGGGTGTCAAATTTTTTTTTTTTCTTCATCTTCATTTTCAAATGGTTATGTGGTGTCAGTTAAAAAAAAAAAAAAATACGTTCGGATATTTTCGTTTGACAGGGGTTGAATTTTTTCACCACCACCACCATCATCATCATCATCATTAGTTATCCAATTTGGTTTCAAAAGTTAAATATTAAATTTCCCTTTTCAATGACGTCAAACGATTCATTTTGAATTTTGTAGGGTAGAAACAAAAAAAAAATGCACGAACTGAATGGGCCGTACTAACTACCCCCTCCCTCCCTCCCTACTATTGTTTTACTTTTGGTCACATAAACGAACGCACGCACGCACTCCCACACACACGCACAAACGTGTAATTTTTCGTATTATTCGAGATTAACCAGTCGAACGATTTTTAAGAAAATGATTTCGTGTATTTAACTGACAACTATTAATATAATTATTATTATTATTATTTGTCAGAGGCGTTACGTAATCGTCGGTCGGTCGTCGGTCGGGGGCGGGGGGTGAGTGGGGTATATGTGGAATTTTCTTTTTAAAAGAAAAGTTTAGTTTTTCATTTTTGAGGAGATTTAAATGGATTTAAGTATAAAATTATTAAGTTAGCTGTGATGATGACGTCATTAATAAAAAAAAAAAAAAGGAGACGAAACGTAAAACGAGAAAATAGAGAAGGATGGATGGATGCGGAGAATGGATTATTAACAGTTGAAAAAGCAAAGGGTAAAAACTTCCCTTTTTAAAAAAAAAAAAAAAGGAAAATAAAAACCACCACGTCCGTCCGTTTGTTTTAAGGTACAAAAAAAAAACCAAGTCAGGTGTGGAGCGAAAACTTTTACCAAAAAAAAAAATATGAGAGAAATTTGAAACTTTTTATTAATTTTCAAAAGAATTTCATAGAGAAAGGAAATCGAATTTCCGGTTTAAAAAAAAAAAAAAAAAACGGATTTAAAAATGACCAGAAACTCTCCTTAAATTTCAAATTTTTGTTTTTGTTTTTCTCTCTCTACTATCAAAAAAGGGCACCTGCGATAACAGAAAAAAATTTTTTTTTTGGGGGGGGGAGGATGTGTAAAGAATGGGTTGTTTTTGGGAGCACACGTCAAAAAAAGAACGTCCCGAAGAGAGAGAGAGAGAGAGAGAGGAAGGACCGAAGTCAAAAAGTGATTAAAGGGAGGATAAAAAAACAAAAGAAAGAAGAAACTTTTTAAAAAAAATTCATCCCTTAAAAAAAATAATAATAATAATAAAAAAAAGGTTTGCGTCACGTGTCTTCATTCGTGTGCCTGCCATCTTTTAGAAATTATCTACCAGTTATCTGTTATTTGAATTTACCGATTATTATATTTAATACTTTTTGTTGGTCTTTATTTGACCGTCGATAACCAGAGAAGAAGCAGAGAGAAAGAGAATCAGAGGGAGACAATAAAAATGAAAGAGAGAGAGAGAGAATGCGAGAAAGTCACACGGACAGAGAGAAAGAGAGAGAGAGACGCAGAGGGAGAGAAAAAGAATGAAAGAGAGAAAGAGAACGCGAGAAAGATACAGACAGAGAAAGAGTGAGAAAAAAAAAATGAAAGAAAAAAAAACCGAGAAAGAAAGAGAGAGAGAGAGAATGAGAAAGAATGCGAGGAAGACACACTGAGAGAGACAGAGAGAGAGAGAGAGAAAAAGAATGAAAGAAAAGAAAATGCGAGAAAGATACTGACAAAGAAAGAGAGTGAGAGAAAAAAATGAAAGAGAGAAAGAGAGAGAATGCGACAAAGGAACTGACAGAGAGAGAAAGAGAGAAAACGACAAAGAAACTGACAGAGAGAGAAAGAGAGTAAGAAAAAGAGAGAAAACCAGGAAGAGAAAGTTACAGAGAGAGAGAGAGAGAAAGAGCAAAAGGAGAACCTGTAAACTCGAACCCCCCTAAAATCGGGGAGCAAATAATTAAAATATTTAGGAGACCCCCACGCACACACATCAATTATTAACCAACTCGACGTACAAAATCTTCCTACATCCGGTACGTTCGATATATCGATCGATATTATTGATTATAATCAATGGTTTAATAAATTAAAAAAAAAAAAAAACCAAATCTCAAACCCCAATAGGAAAAAATAATTAAAAATTATCAAAAAAAAAAAAAAAATCCAAAGCCACCCCTTCCTCCTCCCAAAAAAAAGTAAATCTCAAGTGTAAAAAATAATTTAACCCAATAAAAAAATTAAATTTCTTATCATCTGTTATCAGATATTCAAATGTTAATAAAAAAAATGGTCACGTGACGTAATAAATATTTTTTATTTTGTTGCTGCTTTGATTGCGTGTGTGTGTGTGTGTGTGGACATAAAAATTAGAGAAACCAATTGGAAAAATTTTAATCGTAAAAGAAAACACAGGTGAGAGAAAAATAAGAGAGAGAGAAAAGGAGAGAGGGGGAAAGGAGAGAAGGGAGAGAAGGGAGAGAAGAAAACAATGATTTTTTTTTTTGCGTGTGCGTAAGGGATGAGAGGGTTGGTTGGTTGATTGTCTGATTGGTTGACTGGTTGGTCGGTTTATAAATTAATTTGCGGACTCTTTAAAATTTTTCTTTCATCTCTCTCTCTCTCTTTTTCTCTCTTTCTCTCTTTTGTACTGTTTGAAAAAGAAAAAAAAATCATTTTTGATTTTCGTGTATCGATTAAGAATATTTTTTTTTTTGTACAAAGGGTGGAAAATTTTAAATCCTTTTGTCGTTTCCTCCCCTCTCTCTCTCTCTTTCTCTCTCTCACCTTTCTCTTTAACATTTTTCCCTTTTCCTTTTTCTTTCTCTCTCTTCTTCCTTTTACTAAATTTGAACTTTCATTATCATCATCATCATTTGCTTTTTGTTGCCGAATTTCCAAAATTAATTTCTACAAAAAAAAAAAAAAAAAAAAAAAAAAATTATTATTATGGCTTCTTTTTTTTTTTTTAATTAAAAAACATCTTCGTATTTAAATAAATATTTTCTTTCCTTTTTCATTTGGAAAATTGTAAACTTTTGACCTCCTTTTTTTCCTCCCCTTTGGAAGGGGGAGAGTGTATCACAAAGGGGCGCGAAGTGGGGGACCAAGATTTTCCAAATCTCGTTTATTAAAAATTTTTTTTTTAGAAATCGACTCTTTTTATTTATCATCGTTAATAATAATAATAATTAAATACGTTAAAAGTAAATAAATAAATAATGACGTGTCACGTGATTAAAATTCTTTAATTGCTATTCTCGGTGTAAAATGAGAATGAAATACGTTAAAACCGCCACCGACGTGTCTTCCGGTTTTGTTACGTTTTCCAATTATCGGTTCCAAAACGGGTAAATAACTTTTTTCCTTTTCCAAATCTTTTTCTTTCATTTTGACTTTTTGTTCTCGTACTTTCTACATCGAAAAACACAAACAAAAACAAAAATTTTTTTTCACGCGGAAAAATATTGATTATTTACTCTATGAAAATTTTCCTTACCAGTTTATAATATTTTTTTTTCAAATCGTAAATTTCTTGATCCGCTTTTGTTTTGGCCAATTTATAACTCGATATTTGATTTTCAAACATTGTCAATTCGGCAACGAGACACTTGAAACAAAAAAAAAATTTTACGCTATAAAAGTTCTTATTTACTACAAACAAAAAAAAAAAATTGTATTTTGTTTGTTTTCTCACTTTCATTTTAACATTTCTCCTTTTTAATGCCGTTTGACATTTTGTTAATTTTCCAAACGTTTCCGGACCTGGTTGTCGTGTCACCATTGCTTTCAAATTTTCAAACAATATTTCTTTTTCTCTTAAAAGATTTTTCTTTTTGATCGCATCTTCGTTTGCCGTCAGTAATCTCTTCTGTAATATTTTTATCTTTTGTATGAGTTCGAACGTTGTCGGATCCGAACCTTCCAATTTTCTCCACCTGTGTACGTTTAACGGATTTTGTAATTCTTCTTCCAAAGCTCGACATTTTAATTTTTCATTTGTGAAATCTCTTTCCAAATGAAACAATTCTTGTCTTAAATCCACCGTGTTGTTTATCGTTCTCGACAACATGGCTTTTTCCTGTCTTAATTTTTTAACCTCCAATTTTAACAATCTTATATCTTCGACTCTTTGACCGTATTGAGCTTCGCCTTTTTGCAATACCGATTGCATTATTTTAACCCTTTCGTCGATGAGTGAATGTTCGTCGTTTGATCGAACCAATTGCGTACCTAATATGTCTCTTTCGTTCGATACCTAAAATCGAAATTAATCATCATCATCATCCTCATCCTCATCATCTTCTTCTTCTTCCACTTTACCTGTTTTAATTCTTTTTTTAATTTAGCCCTTTCTTTATCCGAATCTTGTATTATTTTTTGTAGTCTGCTTTCTTCTTGACTCAGTAGCGTAACTTCTTCTTTTTTCTTTTTCAATTCGTAAATTGATTTTTGTAATTCGCTTTTAACTTCTTCTTTTTCTTTAATCACTCGTTTTATTGCTATAAATTAAATACGATTCGTTGTTTTAATAACTGAAACTAATATTTTTGTAAATTTTTATCGACAAACTTACTAAATTCATCTTTCATCAAGAGATTTTCTTTCGTTTGTATGTCTTCTTTCATTTGTTGTACTTGATATGCTTTTATTTTATATTTGTGTTTCATTTCGTTAACTTCATCCGTTGCTTCTGCTAAAAATTTTGATAATTGATTCCTTTCCGATCTCACCTGTACAAGAAATAATTTGCAAGTTTTAGTAATCGTTAAGAGAAAAATCAAAAAAAAAAAAAAAAAAATTTTTATATAAGCTTGATTGCAAATGTGTTGTCGGAAGAGTCGTATCAAAGTGGTTGCACTCGGAACAACAAACACAACTTTCCACTACAATCAACAAACACATCCCAATCAACATTGTTGCCATCTTAAAATCTAAATTACGCAATCGGGAAAAATTATGAAAAAACGCGCAAAAGAGAGAAAAATTTAATTTCTTCCCTCCACGTTTGCCTTAACATAAAAATTTTCGGGATATTATTTTTAAGGATTACATCGAGAGTCCCGATTTTCGGGGAATCCGGGAAACGAAACAACCGACTTACCTGATCGTACATGGTCATTTGCAATTTAATTTTAGCTTCGGAATTAGTTATTCTTTTTTTACAATCGAACAATTCCAATTCTTTTAATTTTTTTTCTTCCATGTAATTTTGCATTTGAGTATTTAAATTAACCGTTTCCGACACGAGTCTATCTTTTTCATTTTGCAACGAATTTATTTCTCCTCTTTGTTTCGAAATCGTTTCGTCATTTTCATCAATGACTTCTTTTAATTTTTTCATCGAAACATCTTTAAACGATAATAATTTTTGTTGTTCTTGAGCGTGAACTGAAAGAAAAAAAAGAAATTTCCATCTTTATTTTTTTTTCGTTATTCTTCTTCCACGTTTAAAAAAATATGAAAATAACAATACCAGCGGATTTATGTATTGATTTAACCATGAATTCTTTTTCTCTTTTCATCGTTTCAACGGTTTTTTTATCGACGTGTGATGCAATACGAAGTTCTGTTAATTCTTTTTCGAGATTATTCAATTTCGTTTGTAAATCTTTTTTTTTAACTTCGAATGTGGCTCTTTCATTTTTCAATATTCCAACTTTTGTTTCGAGTGATGATTTTGCTCCGGTTAATTTTTTATTTTCCGATATTAATTTTATATTTTCGTCATCTCTCATCTGAACACACGAGCGTGTACAAAAAATGAAATTATTTAATTTTTATTCTGCTTTTTCGATAATATTTTCACGTTAAGTGATTGATTGATTATTAAAAATCTCGCATAACCTTTAATTCTAAACTTTTCGTATTTAAATCCTGTTGTATTTTGTCATTGTGAGCGGCCATGTGATCAAATTCCATTTTTTGTAATTTGAATGCATTTTGAAGTTCTACAAATTCTTTCGTTTGCTTGTCCATGATTACCTAAAAAAAAAATTTAAACTTTTTATTTTTATTTTCTCTATGACATTTTAATGATAATAATAATAATAATAATAATTATATTAACTTTATTTTCTCTTAACATTGATTCTAATTTAACTTGATTTCTAGTGCATTGCGTCGTTTGACTCGTTTGATTTATCAATTCTTGATCTCTAAGGGATAATTCGTTTTTTAAATCTTTCAATTCTTCTTCTAATTTTTCCTTGAAACGTTTTTCTTTAGCCAATTCGGTTTTTTGACCCTTGAAAACAAAATTTATTTATTTTTTTTTTTGATTTTCCCCTAGGGGAACAATAAGAAAAGAGAGAGAAAATTTTTTTTCAAACTTCAAATTCCGCTGTTAATTCCATTAATTTTGCTTCCATTGCTTCGGATTTTTTTTCCAAATCTTCTTGGTATCTGACACTTTGTGCATATCTATCTTTTGCTAAATTTATTTCGTTTAATAATCTATCTCTTTCTCTGGCCAAAGCTTCTTTGTTTTTATTTATAGAACCGGTTCTGAAAAAATTCAATTTTTTCTTATTTATTTTTCTTATTTTTTTTTCTTGCTTTTTTTTTTCGTTAATTTTTTAAAAAAAAGGGATGAGTATGAAAAAAAAAATTGAAAACGTTTTAATGTACTTAATTTAATTTTTATTTCATTGCCTTACTCTTGATCTTGATCTGATCCCATTTTTCTCAAAGTTTCTATTTCTTGTGTCAGCCTAGATATTTGTAATCTTAAACTATCTATGCCATCTTGCATTTGTTGTTCTCTTGTGTGAGCTGCATCGACCAATCGCCACGTTGATGTTAATTCCTATTTTTAAAAAAATTAAAAACAAATTATTAATAATAATGATTATTAATGAATAATCGAATCGAATTTTAATTTACCTTTTGTAATTTATCAATCGTTTCGCGATTGTTATATATCGCTTTAACGGCTAAAGTGTATTTATTTGTAATTACGTCGATGTTTGCTTTTATCTGTCTATTTTTATCAAACAATTCTACTTCTCTTACGTGTGATTCTTTTAATGAATCCATCAAACGTTGAAATTCGTTAAGAAAATGACAAACTTTATCATTTTGTTCCAATTCCGTTATGACCTGCAATCACTAAACAGTTATAATAATAATATAAGAGTAAGGATTTAATAATTCTCGAAGACAAAAAAAAAATCTTTTTTTTTTATTTTTACCTTTGCAAAATCTTCTTCGACCTGTCTGAAATTTACGCTGGGATCGTATTCTTCTCCACCTTTATACAGATCCTGAAAATTATATTTAACATTACACATTAAACTCAGACATTTTTTTTTTTTTTTTTTGTTGGGCTCGCCATTATTAGGAAAAAGATTACAAAAAGAAAAAACTTACATCGATTCCCCATTGTTCTGATTCTTCGCTTGGATTCATTATTAATAATAATGAAAAAATTAATTTTTAAATAAAAACTCTGTTACTCTTACAAAAATCCCTTGGAAAATTCTTCCCCTACATAAGACTATTTATATCGTTGCTGATGACAACAGAAATAACCGTTAAAACCATTATTATTATTACGTATGCGCGTGAATTAATTTTAAAAACGATTTGAAAATAAACTAATTATCACGATCGCGATGTTTTAATTTTATTTTTATTAAGAGAAAATAAAAAAATAAACATTTCAAATAGTTTAATTCAAAATTGATTCCGTTCTTTTCCTTTTTTTTTTTTTAACGGACTTTTTAAAAAAGCGCGTTACTGTGAATTGAGCGTCTTACAATCAAATAATTTTGTTTCATTAAAACTTTTATCGAGCGATAATTGATTATTGTAAAAAAAAAAAAATTATTATTATAATTAAAAATGAAAATATTATTGTTTTAAATGTAAATAATTAATTTCGTAATTAAATAGAGTAAATAAAAATAAAAAAAAAACAAGAGGATGCGGATGCTCAACGTTACGCTTAGTTTTATCAAAAGCACACCAAATACAAAACAAAAATGGCCGCCAATGTAGAGGCTTCTCTAAGTGCATCAGTTGATAAAAGTGATGATAGTTTACAAAATAAAAACGAAACGGACGCGAATTTATCAAACACTCCTCAATCACCGGAATTGGAAAAATCATGGCCGCATTTAATGGTTTCCAGGCCTTACAAAACGGCAAGAAAACTTCCCGAAGGTAAGTTTTCATTAATGAATTTTGGTTATTTTTTCTCGAATCTTGCATTTATTTACACTTATATGAAACCGTTAGGCCATTAAAAATGAATTTTTTTTTTTTTTTTGCATTTTCATTCAACGAATAATCCCAATCCCATTGTAAATTACATTAATTTATATATTAAATTTAACAAAAATTAGGATTTATTTAATGTAAATAAATAACTGTCATTTAAAATTGAAAACAAAATGACAAGAGTAATTTTTTCATTCGATTCTTCTCTGTTTAATTCATTATCATTGTAAATGTTTATAAAAGCAGTAATGGATAGATTAAATATTTTCAATTGTGTAATTCTTAACTGTTCCAACATTAACTTGTTGTTTATCAACAAAAATAAAGTAAACACTGGTAAAATCCATCCCAACATGGCCTTATCGATATTGTCACTTTTAATACAATGCAAGTTCGATTTGTCATTTTTAGTTTGGTTTGACAATATTATTCATCGAGTACAGTAGTAGTTTGTGTAAAATTTGATTTTTTTGTAGTTAATTTTGTAGTCATAAATAATTTTAATGTAGTTTTAAATGAATTTTTTTGTAAAATTGAATATCGGTGCATGAATTTATAACATTTAAACTTTATTCGAGACTTGAAATCTTTTTTTTCTTTTCTTTATCAATTGTATTTGTTGTCCTTGTTTTAATTTGCATGTGTTGCATAATTTAATAAATCAAAACAGAATTTTTATTTTAAATTTATTGTCCATTTGACAATAATTAATAAAAAATTTCGATTAAATATTTTTGTGAATTAATCGAATTGTCGACCATTACTTTTTTAATTCATTCGCAAATATTTTTGCTTTTTTTTTTTTTTTATAAAAAATAAATAAATAAATAATTTTCAGTGATGTTTTCTTTTTTGTACAAATTGTACAAATAAAAAGGTAATTATAAATTATTAATTATTATTATTATTAAAAACATGTCCCTTGTTTACTTTTCTTTTTTTTTTTTTTTTTCTATTGATAAAGTGGTAAAATTTCAAAAAATTTCCGTTATTTGTTTAAAAAAAAAAACCGAATCGCAGAGACCTCTACATTTCAAATCATAAACTATTTGGTGGTTGAAATCCTAATCGATATTTTCGTTTTTCTCTCCCTCTCTCTTTCCTGTGGATTCGAGTTAAGGGTTGGATTTGTTTACGTAAAAAAAAAAAAAAAAAAAAAAAAAAATTTGTTCGTTTTTATTTAAATAATTTAAATCGTTTTAACGTATCGTTTTTTTTTTTTTTTTTTTTTTAAATTGTTATTTTTTTTTTTTAAATTAACGTAAGGGATAAATTAAATCATCAATCGATCGGGAAATGGTTACGGATTTGCCGTATTATCGATTCGGTAATGTTTTGTTGTGTCGTTTTAAGGGTTGAATCGCCGCCATGACGGGGATGTTCCATGTTATTTTATTGTTTTTATCCGAATTTTTTTTTTTAAAGTTTAATTAATTACCGTCTGTTTTTTTTTTTTTTTTAAATTCATAATTAAATTATTATTATTATTATTTAATGTTAGCTATCAAATGACGTAATTGTTATTATTATTATTATTATTATTATTTGAAGTGGCTCACTGTTGAATTTTAAAATTTATCACCGATTCGAACGTTTGTAGTTTTTTTTTTTTTTTTATGCGGTTGTTGTAGTGGTTGTTGTTGTTGTTATGTACCGCGACACTTAAATAATAATAATAATAGTAGAAAAAACATAAATTTCTTCTTCTCCCCTTCCCCCTCTTCCCCCCAATAAATCCTTTCTATACTTGACCTTTACGATTTTAAATCGTAGAAGGTCATCGTCCATCATACCCGCCGTGCAAGACGAACAACGAAAGGTTTCTTCACGTAAGAAAATCTTTTTTTCTTTTTTTTCCTGTAGTTTTTCATCTATTATCATTATTATTATTATTATTAGTGCTATTTTTGTAGATAGGCAATAAGAATCGACTTGTCTCCTCGTTGTGAGTCACTTTAATACTTCTTTCATTGACAATTTGCGTCATTTTTAGGGTCGTCGATTATATTTTTTTGTATCGTAGCAAAAAGGTATCCATCCATTCATCCATCCATCCATTTTTATTATTATTATTATTATTACTATTATTATTTATTTATCTGAAGAATGACATAATTTTTTCTGTGTAAATTTTTTTTTTTTTTTTTTTTTTTTTTTCTTAAAAATGAAAATTTTTGCAGACGGTTGAACTGTTTATAATTGGCAAGTTATTAGAATGTTGGATCAGCCGCAAGATATGGCTGGTGCTCAAGACACCATCTATCTCTGCAACTTCCGTGTTTCCGTTGACGGAGAATGGCTTTGTCTTAAGCAACTAGAAGACGTCGAGTTTGTAGATAATAATTATCAGCAGCCCATTTCTCCTCCTTCTCCAATCGAGCCTTTGGCTGTTCTCGGTAGGTTCCTTTCCCGAACACACAAACAAACAAACACAAACAGACATATTTTATATTATTATGAGATGGTCCGCGATGACTCATTTCATCCCACGGTTCCTGCCACGTTGTTGTTGTTGTTGTTGTTTATACTTTTTTTTTTCTTTTTTTTTTTTTTTTCTCTGTCTCTGTCTCTCTCTCTTTTTTTTTTTTGTTCGATACCGTTGTCGGGTAGATTGGAACATTTTCGTTATGTTGCGGTTTGTTAACAATTTTCCAACGAGAGTTTTTCTTTTCTTTTTTTTTTTTTTTTTTTTTTGAAACTTTCTAGCCGCCAAGGATCCAGTTTTGATCGAAAGGAGCAATTTAGTCAATATATCGAAATTAGTTGTTAAGGAACTTATAGAAACATCACAAAAATATGGTCGAATGCTCGATTCGGATCACATGCCTTTGCAACATTTTTTCATCGTTCTCGAACACGTGTTGAGACACGGTCTCAAACCTAAAAAGGTGCGTCAATAATTTTCTTTTTTGATTTTTTTTCTTTTCCCCCTCCTCCCCCCACCTGGTAGGTAAACAAAGGTTCGTTCGTTCGAGAATTTTATTACGATTTTTTTTTGTTCAGGGTTTGCTGGGTCCGAAAAAAGAATTATGGGACATTCTTCAATTGGTCGAAAAATTCACTCCCGAAGCACACGACATAACGACGAGCGTGAGGGATTTGCCCACCGTGAGCACTCACATGGGTCGAGCTAGAGCTTGGCTCCGTTTGGCTTTGATGCAAAAAAAATTAGCGGATTATTTGAAAGTTTTGATTGATAGGAAAGATGCCGTTTTGGCGGATTATTTCGAACCGGATGCTCTCATGATGAGCGACGAAGCGTTCATAATAATCGGCCTCCTCGTAGGACTCAACGTCATCGATTGCAACCTGTGCGTTAAGGTACGAAAAGAAAAATGATGACGTACGCACACATCGATCATTCGTTCGTTCTCTGATAATGGTTTCTTTTTTTTTTTTGGGGGGGGGTTTGGGACGATCAGGAAGAAGATCTCGATTGTCAGCAGGGAGTCATTGATTTTTCACTGTACCTTAGATCGAGTCATCATTATTATCAAACTTCGGATTCGATATTAGATCCTGATAACATGACGACGGTTTTAGATCAAAAAAATTACATAGAAGAATTAAACAGGCATTTGAAGTGAGTTGTCGTTTTCTTTTGCGTTTCCGGTTTAATAAAAACGTTGATTAAATTTATTATTATTATTATTATTAAAGCGCGACGGTTGCGAATTTGGAAGCCAAAGTCGAAAGTTTACAAACGACAAACGCGCTCATGAAAGAAGATTTGGATATATCGAGAAACAATATCGTTTTATTAACGGAAGAAAACAATCAGTTGAAAAAGCAAATATGCATAACGGAAAAATATATGGGAGGAAATACGTCATCATCGTCGTCGGAGGTTTGTTTGTCTTTTAAGGAACGAAAATATTCCGGGAGGAAATGACGTCACGATTTTCTCTCTCACTTTCTTTTTTTTTTTTTTGTTTTGTAGAAGACGGAAAATCGTGCGGGAGAAACGTCAGAAGATTCGAATAATAAAAAAACAGCGGAAGTTAAAAAAATTATAGAAACGGTCACGGAAACGGAACAATTAAAAAAACAATTGGAAGTTGAAAAGAAAAAAAGAGCGGAAGCGGAAAAAGAATTAAAATTACAAGTAAAAAAAAAAAAAGAAAAAAAGAAAAAAATACGAAAGAAAAATAAATAAATAAAATTGTTTAGAAAAGAGGGAGAGAGAAAGAAATTTTTTATTTATTTTTTTATTTTCAGGTCGGAATGAAAACGGAAATGGAATTTGCAATGAAACTCTTGGAAAAGGATATAAAGGAAAAAGAAAATACGATATCATCATTGACAAGTCAATTAGATGAAATTAAATTAATCAATTTGGAACTTTTTAAAAAGTTACAGGTCGGAAAATATTTAATTGTTTATAATTTTTCTCTTTTGTTTTGTTTTTCTCTCCAACCCTGGGAAATTTTCTTTTTTTTTTTTTTTCCCTCTCAGGGTAGTTGTTTGTTTGTTAGGGGGAGGGGAAGGGGTGAAACATTTGATTGTTGTCTAATCGTACTAAAGAATTTTCTTTTAAAAAAAAAAAAAAAAAAAAAAAAAAAAAAAAAAAACAGGAATGCGAAGAAGATTTGACGCAAAAGGGAGAATTAGTGAGTCGACTACAAAAGAAAACAACTCAAATCGGAAAAATACTCAACAACATGGAAAAATACAATCATTTGTTGAGAGACGTGCCGCCATCTCGATCTTCTATGAGTTTCGATTCTTCGGGTCTTCCGCCGCCGACGCTGCCGCCGTCGGCGTCGTCGGCGTCAGCATCGAGGCCTACGTCTTGGGGTTCGTCGAACTCTCAAACAAACGATAACATATTCGATAAGAAAAGTCCAAATTATTATAAGAAAGTTTACCCGCTCACGAACGTGGATTTGAGCAAATTGAAAAAATCACCCAAAATATCCGAAGACGTTGGAGATTCCGTCGGGGGTCCAACGCCGTCCAAACTCGAAAAAGTTTCCGACGATTCGGGGGGCGGAGGCGGTGGCGGCGGTGGTAGTGGTGGGGGTGGGACTCATTTGCAAAACACTTAAAAGAATTTTTTTTATTTTTATTTTCCTATCGCGTTTTCGCTCGCCGACGCTTACACCAAAACGACAAACACGCTTATTATTGTTTGTTTGTTTGTTTACTCTATGATTGTTTAATCATCTTTATTTTTTTGTTTTTCTAACTCCCTTTTAGAGAGGGGTGGAAACCAAGGCCAAGGGTGGAAATTGTTTTTGCTTATTTGCCTTTCTTGACGACAAAATGTTGACACGTTCGAAGAGAGAAAACAAAAAAGAAAAAGTTTTTTTTTAAAGGGAAAAATGTATTTTTACAGGATTGCGAGAGTTCTTTAAAGCAGAAGACGGAACTTATAACGAAATTAGAAGCCAAAAGCGTTTTAATAACGGAAACTTACCAAAAATTAGAAGAAAAGTAGGTTTGAGTTTTTCTTTTTTTTTTTCTTTATCTCTTTTCTTTCTTTGTCTCCTCCATTTTTTTTTTTTGATATGGATATAACTAATCCTAATATCTCCGATTAACGCTTAATCGCTTTATTCTCTATCTCTCTCTCTCTCTCTCTCTCTGACTTTTATGTTTTTCGGTGCTTCTAACTAACAAAAAGGGAGAAAAAAAAAAAATTATTATTATTATTAAATTAAAAGGAAATGATTCGAGACGGGAACTGAGGGGACGGGGGGTGGGATGAGGATTATTATTAATAATTTGAATGTAATAAATAAACGTAACAAGATGATGATGATGATATTAATAATACTAATAATAAAGAATGATAATATAAATAAAAATTTTTAATATAAAAATTTATTGTTAATAAAATAAATATTTAAAAAAAAAAAAATCCTTTGTGCATAATCCTTATTATCATTATCATTATTAACATTATTATTTATAATTTTATTATTTATTATTATTATTTATGTTATTTAATTGAATTTTTTATTTAAAATATTATTCGTTAGACTCGAAAAAGATCGTCTTATGGCGGAAGAATTAAAAGAAAAATTAAATCAACAATTGGCGGAAAAGAAAAATTTGGTCACGAACACGGAAGAAGATTTAAAAGTAGAAAGAGAATGGCGGACTTCGTTGCAAGATTCAATTGTTAAAGATAGAATATTGATTGAAGAATTAAAACAAGAATTATCCGGTTTTAAATCTTTGACGGGGGTAAATTTTATTTTATTTTGTCACTCTCTCTCTCTCTCTCACTCTCTCACTATCTCTCATTATCTCTCTCTCTTTATTCGCGTCCGCCATAATTGATTGATCGAATCGGTTTTTTTTTAAAATTAATCGACTCGTTATCGATTTTAAAATTTCCTTCATTAATGTTTCAAATTTGAAAACGTATCGTTGCCCGATATTATTATTATTATTATTATTTTATTTGGGTGAGGGGAGTCGTAGGGGTAAGGGGAAACGCTTAGGGGGAAAAAGGAAAAGAAGAGGAAAATTAAAAATCGATTTATTTATAATAATAAGAATGAGATTTAAATTTGCGCCTGTCGTCTGCTAGTAAAATTAAATTTTTTAAATTGGGAAATGGGGGGAGGGGAAAAAGTGACGATGAACAAGCTGAAAAAAGGGGGGCGGGGTCAAAGGAAATGTATGAACTATGATGTATAAGTTTTGCTTCTTCGCGAACGCGACTTTTACGATTCGATCAATCGATCGATCGATGGATCGATTTATTCCAAAGAAAAACAAAATGAAAATTTTCACTTTCCCCCCTCCTCCCCTCCACATGTTTTCCTTCCAAAAAGGTTTCATTGACGAAAAATTAATTACGCGAATTAGGGGGGGGGTTTAGCTAGGGGAGGCGGTTAGTTTTTGACCTTTGACATTAAACTTATTTGATTCGTACCCGTAATCGAATGCATCGATACGAAATATTCGAAATCATAATTACCATCATCATCATTATCATCACCACCATCACCGCCCCCGTCGTTGTCGTCCTCATCGTTATTATTATTATTATTCTTTTTTTTTTGCTTTTTCCAGAAATACGAAACGTTGAAAGACGACCATGAAAAATTATTAAAAAATCACGAAACGATAAAATCGGATTACGAGAGATTAAAAGAAGATTACGGACAACAGGAGCTCACACTGGAAGAATTGGGAGTACAATTAAGTGTATCAAGATTAAAAGTCGCGGATTTGGAAGAAGAAGTTAAAATTAAAATGGAAAGTCAATGGGCATCAGACAAAGAAGTTCAATCTTGTCGAAATTGTACAAAAGAATTTAATTTAACGAGGAGAAAGGTTTGTTGTTTTCCTTTTTTTTTTACAATGGGAAAAAGTTTCCGTTCGAAAGAAAGAAAGAGAGAGAGAGAGAGTGAGTGAGAGTGAGTGAGTGAGTGAATGAGTACAGAGCTTTGAGTCGATGGAATGAAGAAGAAATGAAAAAAGGGGGTGGTAAGAAACGGGAGAAGGTACAAGGAGGGAAACGAAAAAAAGTGAAAGAGGGAAGGAAGAATGGGGGAAGTGGGGAATGAGGGGTGGGGGAGGGAAAAAAGATTTTCTATTAACTTTACTCAAAAGTTTTCTTTATGTTTGACGGTTAACTATTCATAAGATTTGTGTGTATGTGTGCTCACCTGCCCCCCGCCCCGCCCTGCCCCTTCACCCGCCCTCATGTTTTGCCAAATGAATTTACTTAATGTTTTTCCCCGGAAAATTGAATGAGTGAGTGAGTGAGTGAAAGGAGTGGTAAACGTGGAAGAAGAAGAAGTCGAAGATTTAAAAAAAAATTTTTTGGTTTCTTTAAAAGTTTCTACATCTTTGTGTTTCTTCTTTTACCCGTTCCCTACTCCCCCACCCCCACCGCGTTTTCCGTTTTTCCCGTTTATATATATATATAAATTTTCATTTCGTCCGACGATACGAATTTCCCTTTCGGGCAAATCATTCAAGCGTTCGATTATATGTGGGCATATAATATCCGCCACCGCGAAAATGATTCTTTTACTTTTCTCTCAAGTCAAGAGGTTTTCCCGGAACCGGAAATGGAAAGAAAAGAAAAAGTTTTGATTTAAAAAAAAATTTTTTTTTTTTGTTTTTTTTTTTTTTTGTTTTTTTCCAGCACCACTGCAGAAATTGCGGAGAAATATTTTGTCATACCTGTTCTGATAATTTCACCATGTTGCCTTCGTCAGGAAAACCTGTTAGAGTTTGTAACGAATGTCACGTGTACCTGGTCTCGAGAAATTCCGTACCGTCGTCATGATGATGATGATGATGATTACGTAAATTTAAATGGAAACGTACTACTACTACTACTACTCACGTGTAAGTTTATTTCAAAAAACGACAAAGATTGTTGGGGAGGGAGGTTTGAATGGGAGGAAGGGGGGAATATCGTGATATATCGATCGATTATCGAACGATTTTTGCGAAAGACATCGATAAATTATTGTTTGATTCCTTTTCCACTCATTTACGTTTGGATTCGATTGAAAATTGAGAGAGATACAGAGAGAGGGTAAGAGAGAGGAGAGAGGGGAAGGGAGA